GAGCCTGGAGCCTGCTTCAGATTGTGTCCCCCTCTCTTTCTCTGCCATCCCGCACCCCGCCCACTTGCACTCTCTCTCTCTCAAAAAAACAAAAAAAAATTAACATTAAAAAAAATACACATATTTTCAAGTGGACCAAACCTTTTTTTTTTTTTGTCCTTTTTAATAGGAAAAATGGAGGAATTTGATATTTGGAATTGTCTTATAGTTGAACAACATGGTACATGCTGAATTTCAATAAAGCAAAACTGATTCACCACAGCTAGTCTACTAACCACATAACCAAGCAGAGCTCTGGTTCCTTCTATCAGAAGCACAAAAAACTAATAGGTTTGATCACATTTAGTGGCTTGTTTCACCCCCATTTCATAATCGTTCAGAGATTATAACTTGAAACAAGTCAACAGTAGGTGTCCAGGATTCATTCCTGGACCCTTGACGTCCCCTCCGTCAGGATCTGCAGTGGCACAAGGCTCAACACTTGAAGCCAACTCCTCTGCCTATCTCTGCATCCCTCCCCACCACCCACCCCCAATTCCATTGGCCTCACCCACCCAGCTGATCTAATTTCCTACCACAGCCAACCTGCTCCCTCCATTCCCAGTAAAGTGGAGTTTTCCCTCCTAACAGCTCCTCTGACTGGAATAGCTGTCCCCCAACTCCATCCTTTACAACCCAACATTCTCCATGAAACTGTCCTGACCACCTCCTTAGCCCACAACACCCTGGCTTCCACTCCCCAAACCCTTGTGCAATGCAGGCATAACTCAGCACTTACGTGCTCTTGTAAATTATTCTGTGGTTGCTTCAGGTATATTCTTTTTTCTAAGAGAAAATAATTGTGAGAGCAGGAACTAAGACCAATGATCCTTCCAGATACCCTCCACAGTTGATTGTTACTTGACTGAATGTTGTCTAATGACCTCATGCCATTTCAAGTGGAGGATGCTTTGGTCCCTGTTCAAGGACAAACTAAAAGAAAAACAGGAGTAGTGCCTTCTGTAAACAACTCTTTTTGGCAAACCTCTGAGACTGTGCCAGTATGAACCTATGGCCTGAGTCACAGAGCATTTGCCATGGGGTGATTGCGGATAACACAAAAAAAGGACGATGACCACATCCTGCTTTCTAGAGTTGCAAAAGGTTCTCCATCCACCCAACCCATCAGTGAAAGAGATTGTCAAAGTAGAAATCTTTAAAAATACCCAGAACTTGACCACTCCTCACTGCCTCTACTACCACAGCCCTGACACCCATCACCTGGAGCACTGCAACAGCCTCCTACCTCGTTTCCCTGCACCTGTCCTCACCTCCTCACAATCTCCTCTCAACAGGGACCTACGTGGGCCTGTTAAAATACTGGTCAGATCGAGTCAAAAGTCTCAGATCATAGACCAGTCTGACTCCTGGCAGGAAAATAGAAGGCACATTCAAAGTGGGTGATTTGGGGAGAGTTTATAAAGGAACTAGTTACAAAGGTGTGGGCAAACACTCCTTTCCTAAGGGAAACCATAGGAGAGTGCAGTACTCTGGGGCAGGCAACACAGGGCTACTCGGTCCCCTCCTAGGCATGGAAGTGTGAAGAGAAGGAGTGAAGAGGGCACCAGGGAGCTCCAATGGAAGGTGTCTGATAAGAGTTGTGAGTGCCTCCACTCTAAACACCCTGCAGACCATGCAATCCTGCAGGAAAGGAGTAAATGTGCTGATCTCATTCTCCCTCCCTCTCATCCCCTATCAATACAAACACAGCCAAATACACCCAGAAGACATAAGGCAAGGGAACCTGTCCATGCAGGTGACCTCTTGGGGCACATTTGTAGACAGGGTGGAAAAGGGTAGAGTGGATCTGGGGAGGTAAACAGAAAACTATCCAGCCAAATGGCTTCCCATCACAATCAGGGTATTCGAAAGTATACTTACAATGGTCTGTAAGGCCCTACAAGATCTGACCTTATCTCCTATTCTCCTGTTTACTAATCTCTCTCCTCACAGTGGCTCTCCACTCACCGGGCACTAGAAGGCCTCAGGTCCTTTACACTTACTGCTTTCTCCGCCCAGAATGCTTTTTCCCCAGACACACACGGCTTGCTTCCTTACTTATATCAGGTCTCAGCGCAAGTGGCGGCACATCATCAGAGGCCTTCCCTTACCTCCTTATATAAAACTCTTCTGCTCCTACCCGACCCTTTCCTGGCATACTCCATGTCTCTTATCCTACTTTCTTTTTCTCTACAGCACTTCTAAGTAAATTAGATAGGTACAGAGATAGATAGATAGATAGATAGATAGATAGATAGATAGATAGATAGATGGACGGATAGATTTCCCCCCATTTTGTTGACTGCCTCCCTGGCCCAGAACAAAGTTTCATAAAGGCACCAACTTGGCCTCTTTTGTTCACTGCCTTATGTCCAATGCCTTGAACAGTGCGTGGCACATAGAAGGCACCCAAGTAGTTGTTGAATAAAAATGTGAATGAATAGTACAGAAGAATCCATAGCTAAGGGCTCTTTATTGTTTATAGGTTTAAATTCCTATAATCAAAGTGTTGTTGAACAAATAATTAAGTCTCCTGATAATCAGATAGGAATCAGGAGACAAACATTTGCTCCTATTGGCAATGGCACAAAATTGAACCCTGTTGGTAAATCCCTATGAATAAACAGACAGAACTGAAAGAATAACAGTAGTATCTTCTGTAGACAACTCCTCCTGATGAAGTTTCTTATGAATATATATCATCATTAACCTACCAAACTAGTACTTCTCTAAGCCTCGGTTTTCTTGTCTGTGAAATGGAAAAGGATTGAATGATACAATCTATATGGAGGGCATTTAGCACAGAACTGGGACCCAGTAAATGGATACTACTGATTATTAGTGCTGGCACTGAGGTAACCATTAGTATGAGATACTATATCATCTTCCTACTCTCTGGAACCGTTTATCCCAGACTTTTAAAATGTGAGCTGGAAGAATGACACGGAAAAGACATATAAGATGCTCTATTATCGAACACACAGTAGAGCCTAGATTTGAAAGACACCATATTATAACCATGTTCCATATCAGAAACCTAGCTTCCACACCCGGCCCAGGCCTTGGCTGACCCTTTGGCAGCCCAGAATCTTGTTCATCCATTTAAAAAAAAAAATTTTTTTTTTTAATGTTTATTCATTTTTGAGAGAGAGATACAGAGCGTGAGTGGGGGAGGAGCATAAAGAGAGAGAGGGACACAGAACTCGAAGCAGCCTCCAGGCGCTGAGCTCTCAGCACAGAGCCTGATGCGGGGCTCAAACTCACGAACTGTGAGATCATGACCTGAGCTGAAGTCAGATGCTCAACCGACTGAGCCGCCCAGGCACCCCTTGCTGCATCCATTTTTGCATCACTTATTATGCCCAGACATTTAAAATATAAGTGCTAGTGTTTCTTGGCAGGAACTAAGCAGGGGCACTTCACTGAAAAAAAAAAAAAAAAAGTAGTACAGGAAAAAGAGAGCAGATCAGTGAAACTCCTGTTAATGTTCCTGTTTTTGACTTGCCCCTTAAACATGGAAGTCTGTTCTGGTCTCTAAATGAACAGACCCACTTCTGATTCCCTTTTCTCTGCTAGTATTCTATCCATATTCTTAAGTGCTGAGTCAGTTCAGTTAACTATATAAAAAGTAACTTAGTAGTGTTACATCACATACCAAGGAACAAGCTTGACCTGAATAAACTCTACAGTCTGTTACTTAGGAACACTGAAAAGATCCTGTAGGTTTCATTGGTGGAAGATTTCTTTGCAATCTTTTACAAAAGGTTTCTGTAGAAAGACACACTGGTGGCTAAGCTGGGGGGCTAGATTCAAAAGGTAAGGGTTTCCTTTCAATCCTGAAACCTATGTAGCATAAATTCCAGTTACAATATTCTTTCTGCTACCATGTGTATAATTGTCTATTCAAGTCTTTGGTTTTTTTTTTTTTTAATTTATAATTATACTTATAGTCATAAATATACAATATGATAACTATCACTATGAATTTTGCCTAAATACAGGATTCCAAATTCAGGTATGAAAGTCAAAGCAGGTCCCTCCAAGGTTAAGCCTGGAGACTGATCTTAATACGAGATCTTATTTAGAAAGCAGCCTGATGCTTATTTGTTAGTGCTAAAAAGAACCATCTCAACCACTTCTAAGGACAGGCAAACATTTCCACAAGAACTTGGGAACAATTCCAATTGCAGAAGGAAAAGGAAAACAAAACTAGAGTTCACTACTCATTCCTCAAGCGCTTTTCAAAGTGATAGGTTTGAGGCCTCAATGAATGAAGGATAAGTCGTCTAAAATTTCATTTTAATTAGCGCTTTTCAAATAGTACTGTTTTCCTGCCTGTTTTCCTCAACCAGGTTGTGCCATGCCCATGGTCAGGAAAGGTTTTATTTCTTTGTACTTCCAGCGTTGAACATCGTGTGTCCAATACTTTGCTGGTGCTCAAATAACATGCCCACCCACGAGGTAGGCCCTACAGGATCTGGCCCCGTGGGTCAGTAATTAAACAGATCATGGAATGGCATGACCGCAGTCTGGCCGCTCCTCTTCCCCTCTGTGTCCCCAAACTACGAGCAAGGTGAGGAAAGTGCACTATCCATCCGAGAACCTCCCAATGTCCCGGCGGAATGAAACAAGCTGCCTGACCCGCCCGGGGTGCTTCAGTCCTCCAAGGCACAGAACACTATTCTCTCCGCTTCCTTAAGCAGAGAGGACCCAGGTACTGTCCTCTCCTCCAAACCCAACCCTGAGAACGACCCCTCCCCAACCCGGCCCCACAAATGCTCCATTCCCAAGCCGTAGCCTGGGCGCCCAGAACTGCCCAGAGCTTCCCAGAGGGGAGGCGCCGCGGTGCACTGTGGGAGTCGTAGTTCCCCGGTGAGTTTCGCACCCCGACGGCCCTGCGGACCGGACTCTCGCTCCCAGAAGCCCCCGCGCGGGCGCCTCGCTCAACCCGGCCGCCTCACCTGTTCTATGGACGTGACTGTTTCCACCGAGTCGTCCTGCAACCGCTCCCGCGCGTGCTCCGGCCTCAGACTGTACAGCGGCTCTGACCACACAGGTGAGGAAGATGGAGGGCAATAGTAGGTGAAGGAACTCGGAGAAGCCATGATCAGGAGAGCAGCGGGCGGTGTATAGTACTCCCTTCGTCAAACAACAACGCGCATTGAAACTCAAACGGGCTAAGGCGCTACGGAGAGCGAATAGAGTCAAAAAGTCTTTGAACGCGAATTTCTCTCCACCCACCTACACATCTTAAAGGAGTTATTGGGATGCTTCCGCCCCCCATTGGGCAGAGTTGCTGCTGCAGGAGACTCAGCTTCTTGGCGCGCAAGGAAGGGAGGACGTGTCTGTCCATCTGGATTTCATTTCAAAGAGATGGTGTAGGACGCCTCGGTTCGTTACGCAAAGTAACACAACGCACGCAGGCACACTTCAATATTGCGCTAATTGCCACTTAATTGTAATGACAGCAGTTCGTAGTTTCGAGTGCCCAAGAACTGCGAGTGTAATAACCGTAAAAACATTTGACAGCTCTCCTGACTCAGACACTCTATCACTAACAGAATTCTGGACACCTTTGGGTGCATGACAGCCGCCCGGGGAGAAGCCGGTGGCTTCGCAACAAGGGAATTGCTTTCTCGTTACTGGCGCGATGATGGAGGGAAGGGGCGTTGTAGTTGTTTCCTATCCCCCAGGGAGTTCCAATGCAGTAGCAGGAACAAGTATAAGTGAAACGACAAAGGAAATATTCAGTAGTTTTTGGGGGAGCACCTACTCTATGTCAAACACTGAGCTAGGCCCCAGGAATACAAAAGTGAACAAAACAAACAAGGCTCCTGCCCTTGGGAACCTTAGAGTCTAGTGGAATAGACAGAATTAATGAATGAACACAATATATGAAGACTTGTGATAAATGGTATGAAAGAAAATAACAGGGTCTACAAAAGAGAGGAAAGGAGGAGGGGACTAATTAGAGTGAGTGGTCAGGCCCAGCCTCTTTGACGTCTGTCTGAGACCCAAAAGATGACAAGGAGCCATCCACATGAACTGTATGAGCTCCACTAGAGGAAGGAACAAGTTTGAGAGAACATTGCCACGAATATACATATGTATGTTTATTAATTCTGATAATTTAATCTGAAGGTGTTCAGAATAAAATTCTTACTGAGTGGGATTAATCATCATATACACCTCCATAAAAATGTTAAAAGTTGTGATTTTAGGAAAATCCTATTTTGGACAAAGAGTAGAAGAGAATCTCTTTAAGGGCCCACATCAAAAGGACTACATCAAAATTATAATACCAAGAGTCGCAGCAGGGCAGAGGTGCTATATTAACAGACTTTCCAGATAGACTCAGACAACCTCCTGCCCAGAGTACTTTACTCTGTTCCCACTCATTTCCAAGTCCCATGTCTTGGGCCCAAGGAACTGCGGTGTGGTATTTCACAACCAAATATTCCCTTCTTATCTGTCTCTGGTGTTAAATAGAAGTGCTCAGAAAGATTCTAAAGCTGAGGCTGGGATGGTCTAAAGGCCTCAAGCAGGTAAACTATCACCATGCCCATTTCAGTGATAGTGTTGCTGAATTAAATCCTGTTGGTGGCAGGATGTTTCTAAATCTGAGAATAAGAGGCTCTGTGGGTTAGGGTCAAGGATATGGCTGCACTATACTTCCCTCTCTATTGGTATCTTATTGTCTTTCCCTTAGTTCTGTTTTGGGAAAAAAAAAAAAAGGTCTGATAAGGTCTGAGTCACATCTAAGGATTCAGCCTTTGTAAAGAGTTGCTTTGCAGGCTAGAAATTTAAATTGAGCTACTGAAAGAGTAGCTGGAATTGTTTTGTAACAAATTGTTTTACCTGTTACAGGTGCACCTAAAGCAATTGCAAATTGTATTTGAAAATAGAAATCCGTTTCTGAAATGCAGTCTCTTCTACAATAGGATCCGAAAGGGACATGGCAAGAGTCTCCTGCAGGATGCTGTCTATTCATTCAATAGGTATTTATTGAGTACCCGTTATGTGCTGGGCACTGAGTTAAGTGCTGAGGAGACAGTGGTGAAAAGCCAGACACAGTCTCAACCGTTACAGGGCTCATGATTTACCAGAAGAAACAGACATTAAACAATTGTTACAAAGTTGACCATTTCATTACAGTTGGGGGAAATGGCATGAGGGGGAAAAGAAGCATAGGCCATTGTGAGATTGTGTAACAGGGGAAACTTACTAGGTAGCCTGGAAGATCAGGAAAGACTCACATGAGGAACTGAATTAATAAAGGCAGGGTGAGGAGACATCCCAGGCAGAGAAAATTCAGTGACAACCAAAAAAATCAAGTGACACATAGAATGAAAAATATGGGGACTTTGTACTCTCCATAGCCCTGAGAGGACTCTTCAGCCTTGGATCAGCAGTGGCCCACCAGTTATCCTTCCTCTAGGTTTGATAAAACCACTGATTCAAGAAGCAGAATGAACGTAAATACTGGCAGTATGGCAAAGGATGATGTACTTAGAGGAGAAAATAATGATAATTAATAGCAACTCCAGCTTGGACTACAGATGGTTTGTGTTTATTTTACTCAAATGCCTGATCTCTTTCTAAATTAAGCTGTGAATTATAGTTGTTTCTTTAAAAATAATATAAAATGTTGATAGTACTGTTTTGTACTTTCAAGAGCAAGAAAACAAGAAAAAAAAATAATGACCTAAATGAACCACTAGAGGTCGCTCCTGACCCTAGAGGAAGCTTCTCCAGTAGGCTTCAAAACTGCTCTCACTGCATTAGTCACAGAACCCCATATGTCGGCATGAATTGTTTCTTTTAATATAATATCTTGCGAAAGTATGTGATCATACACATCTTGGAAAGATTAGAATATGGAAATAACTGATCTATTATCCTGCTAGATCATTCAATTTCCTCTCCACATTTCCTCTTCTACCAGCATTTGTGACCTCTTATTCTGTCCTCCCTGGTCCTCCTGTTTCCCTGGACAGAATGACTGCCCAGCTCTTTCTGACATAGGGCCAGCCCCCCCACCTCTCCTCATGTGCAGCCCCGCCCCTCATGCCCCACCCCAGGATGTCACTCCAGCAGTTCTCCCTTGCCTCTCTTAAAACATCATATCCCTGTACTTGATTATGTCCATCACCCTCAAACAGGCTACTTCTCCATTTTGGGGGAGGGAGGGGGAGATATTTTTAACCCTTTTGCTTCCACCCTCCTTCAGCTACCTTCCTATTACTCATTTCCTCCCTACCAATGTCTCTAATTCCTCTTCTCCAAGTACCTCTTGAACCCATTCCCATAGGACTTCCCCAGCAACTCTTGTCAAGTCCCAGTGAAACTCCATGTTGCTAAATCCAAGGGCCAGTTCTCAGTCCTTATCTGTCTTCCTGCTTGACTTCCTAGCAATATTTGTTATTAACATTCCCTTCTCACCGAAATATTTTCTTTCCTGTAATGTCTAGCACTAGCCTTTGCTACTGCTTCATCTTCCTGACACCTTAACTTTGGAGCACCCCAGGGCTCTGTCTACACTCATCTCCTGTGAACTCGATTAGTCTCAATGTTTTAAATACCACCATTGGGTTGAAAATTGCCTCATTTATATCTCCAGCCTGGATCTCTCTCCTGAAGTCTGAGTTCATATCTAATATCCTGTTTTCATTTTCACTCACATAGCTAACAAGCATCTCAAATAGTATGTCCGCAACAGAGCCTTCTGGCCTTCCCTTCCAAACCTACGCACTCAGTCTTCCCCATCTCAGTTATGCTAACTTCATGCCTCCGCTTGGAGTCCATTCTTGATGCCTCTCTTTCTCTCACTCCCCATAAATCCTGTTGACGATATATCCAGAATCTGACCACTGCTTACCGATTCCATTGCTAGTGTTCCGGTCCAAACCGGGTTACTGTTACGTGGATTCTTATTTTTTTTTTTTTCAACGTTTATTTATTTTTGGGACAGAGAGAGACAGAGCATGAACGGGGGAGGGGCAGAGAGAGAGGGAGACACAGAATTGGAAACAGGCTCCAGGCTCTGAGCCATCAGCCCAGAGCCTGATGTGGGGCTCGAACTCACGGACCGCGAGATCGTGACCTGGCTGAAGTCGGACGCTTAACCGCCTGCGCCACCCAGGCGCCCCATGTTACGTGGATTCTTACACTCATCTCTTAACTCCTCATTTTCCTTGTTTGTGCTCTTGCCCCCCCATGCAGCTGAGTATAAACTCAAAAGCCAGACTAAACCCTTTCAATATAAGCAAAGTTACCCTTTTGCTCAAAGCTTTCTTCTCATCTCACTCAGAGTCAACATCAAGGTCCTTAACCATGGCCTAGAGGGCCCTAATGAGCTGGCCTTTTCTCCTTGTACTCTCCTACTTGCTCACTGTCCCCCTGCAGGGGCCGCCTTCCTTTCTTTGTACACTCCAGGCACATGCCAGCCTCAGAGCGCTTATGCTCGCTATTCCCTCTCTGCAATGCTCTGCCCCCAGGTATAGACGAGGCTTGTCTGCCCACATCTTATAGTCTTTACTCAAATTCTTTACTTAAATTCCTTTAACTTCAGGCCTTTCCTGACCTCCACATATAAATTGAAATGCCATCATCCTGCACTAATACTGTCTTTATTTTTCTCCATAGCACTTTATCACCAGCTGACAGACCTTACGTTTAATGCATTTATTTTATTTACCAGAATAAAAGCTCTCAAGGCAGAGATTTTTGTATTGTTCAGTGCTTATTCTCTGGCACGTAACAGGCATTGAGTAAGTTAAATGATTTGAGTGATTTCCAGTCATTATAATAAACATTTGAATATTCATTTCTGTAACATACTATAGAAGATAATAACAGTGAACATAATACTAGCCTTATCTTTCAGGAGCTCACTCGCTAATAAAAATAGATACTGTATAAATATAAGATAAATAAATATATTTAAGCAAATATAAAATATTTAAATCTATAAACAAACTAAGACAGTATATATACAAGCTACCCTGGGAGAATAGGAAAGGAGCAGTTAATTTTAAAGTTTTTTTAAAGTTCATTCATTTATAATCTCTACGCCTAATGTGGGGCTCAAACTCATGACCCCAAA